AATACGCTACGTATTAAATTAAAATTACAAATGCTATAGATGAAACAAAAATGATAAAAAAATAATGAAGATTTTAGTCATCAAAGGCAACTTTTCTCTCAAGATCCCCTATTTTACGAATTTTTGTCTTTCTGTACTAAAAAATAATCGCACCTCATAAAATTTTTACCATAATCAAATTCTTTATGTTTTATTTGTTACTTTATATATATATTCACTTCACTGGAAATTGATATCAAGATTTTTGTATTGCAATGAAGTTCACTGCTAAAGCTTAAAATTTAGGATGACAAAGATAATGGGTTAGACATTTAATTCTAATTATTGAATTTGAAAGCAAATTTGACGGAAGTTGAATTTGTGGTGGAGTTTACTACTGCCGATTTGACATAAGATGCCATACATTTGTTTACTATTTGAGCAACAATTACGCCAAAATTTTAATTTATTTTCGAGAATCACCTTTTTGTATTTTGCATTTCCTTTTTTGAAATTAATTCAGACTTGATATCTTAATTTATAGTCAAAATTCGTTTTCAATTTCCCTTTCAGTGCTCTCGTCTTACGGTTCTAAAGCAATAAAACTGTTAAAAATAAAAAAATACAAAAAAAAAAAAAAAAAAAAAAAAAAATAGCTGCCAGTTCTGTTTTAGTAAACACAAATGTTAAAATAACTTTCGCATCCGTTTATATTTTTATGCAAATTAGAAACAACATTAGAAACATTTTCTTTCCTAGTAAAAAATTATCAATATCTGCCCAATTTTTCATTTTCTGTTGGAATTCGGGATTCTTTATGCATAAGTTTCCATTTCCTACTATAATGGCCTCAAACTCAAATTGCATGTCGACTCAATGTACGATCTGAAAATAAATGACGAACCAAAATACTCCCCCCAAAAAAAAGAGAAATTTTTTTTTTTAAAAGCAAAGCAAAACTTTATAAGGTATTTTCTCCCTCTTTTCCACGTGCCTTCGTGGTGTAATTGGAAGCATGTTCGAAATCGGGAGGTACGAAGTTCGAAACCCGCCGAGAGCATTGGCTGTTTCTCACATCATCCTGCATCGATGAACCTAATGAATCTATTAATTTTTTATTAAATTTTGAGCTTGGCGTCTGCGAGAAATTTCGGACAGTTAGACTCTATAATGCAAACTTATTGACAGCAAAATGTTAAATTTTCAGACTGACGTTTATTTCAGACAACTCTAATGCGCTTAATAATTTAAAACCGCCATATTAATTAACCCGAAAATAATTTACTTTTACTTAAACTAAAAGTAAACAAATTACAAAAACTTTCCAAGTAGGATAAGTTTTGAGAATAAATAAGAACACGCTTTCTTTTCTCTATTAAATTTTTCTTTGACGCATACAGAAAAATATTTATATATCAGTAAATAATTATAAACTTCCTTTTTTTTACTACAACATTCATTTACAATACCACATGGCGTTTCGATTTTGCTAAAGTTTGTATTAAAGAAAAATGACTAGAAACTGTCTTCATTACGAATTGTGGATGCTCATCAGTTAATCTGGTTCCATTTTATATTTACTAATTTTCAACTATACTGTTTCCTGATTGTGCACATATAAATATACTCCAAAAATATTGCAAAAATTTGTAACTGAGGGGACTTTTAATAAGTACGATAAAAAAAATAATCAAATCTTATCTTCAAATATCTGAATAAAATTTATATCACAGTGTAAATTAAATAGCTCTATTCTTTCCGGAGCGCATATTCACGTTAATTTTTAATCAAACTGAAAATTGGACTCGAAATCAATAAAATCTTAAATATTTCTTCTAGTTCTGGTCATAATAGTGCTAATTAATTTATGAAAAATGCATTCGCGGGTCGTCTGCTTGAAATCACTGCCTTACTTTAAGCAGAATTCTGAGTCGATTCGTCATTTAATATTTCTATGATTCAGTAGCTAGCAAAGTTAAGCAAAAATTTATAAATTTCTTTAGTAAGGATGTAGCATGGATTTGAATAGCTTTATATTTTTTCAGACAGAAAGAGAAAAACAAAGAAGTAAGTTTCTCTGCTGCAACATCATGCACGTTTAGTGATTAAATTAAACTCTTTTATTTACATACATCTATTTTTTTTTGTCGTCAACGTATATTTTTAATGACTACTCATATCAGCGGCAAAATACAAACTTAACGCATTACAATGTTACCATTTCATGAATAAGTTCATCAATTCCAGAAAATGAGATTTTCATTCACATATTCATTCTGATTCAAAGATATAGTACACGATCGATCTTCGAAAACATGTACAAAACCAAAAACAATCAATCCATAAGTATGATTCAAAAATCAAAATCTTCGATATAGGAGGGTTCAAAAATACTCTTAAGGCTCAGAAGAAAGGAAAGAGTTTGACTACTAATAATAACTTATCGTATTACTACTCATCGTAAGTTTAAATTTACTCATCGTAAGTTTAATCTTAATCAAATGTGTGTAACCGAATCAATGACACTATGGGAATTTTTCTACATCTAATTCATACAAAATCAGTTTATAGTTCCTTTGTTCTTATATTAATCTAAAAACTTTGAGATTGTTTATACACTATTAAACCTAACATGTCTGGCTATTATTCTCGAGCAAGGCTCTTCTAAGAGATCCCATCATCTTATAGATGGACTTAAATCCATTCGTGATATCTTTTCCCAGCGAAGAGAAAAATGAAACTGCATGCATTCCAGAACAACTTTTTTGAAGGTACGACAGATATAGCTTAGTAAGACTCTTAGAAAGATACATGACTACGATATCTGCACAATCAAGTGCAAGTTTGGAACTTTTTTCCAAATGTGTTTAAGCAGCCATAATTTCATTTTCCGATTTCGTCTCAGTGCTTTTTTTCCACCAGTAATGCCCTCCTAGATTTCTCCAGTACTCATGTTAGAAACTATGCAATTAGGCGTTGAAAATTAGATAAATTCTATGAGTAACGTTTAACCGTATAAATAATCTTTAGCTATTTTATTAACTCATATTAATTAATAGTATGCGTAGTGGTATAGTTAGAGGTGGCCAGACTGGGCAGTCCGGCTCGTGACGCATATTTTGCACGAAATGTTGTTTTATAGATTGGTCAGGCAGATGAAGAATAATTAGGTTCTAAATTGATGTACAGAACTAAACTAAGAAGAAAAGAGTTTTTGCTCTAGATACAGTACTGAAAGAAATCACGATGTGAATCCAACAGCTACAAACTTTTGCTATGCCTATTTTATTTTACCGAAATTTTCGAATTAAAATTAAGAATATCAACTAAATTATGACCACAGTGACATTAATAAGGAATAATGCTTCGTTAAGAAAGAAGCGTTTGAGAGATAATTTCCGTTACTACTAAGGAAATTAAATTTCCGTTACTACTAAGGAAATTAAATGAGGAAAAAGGTTTCTTTCTAATTTTTGCTGTTTATTGTAAAATACAATCGACAGAACAAAGATCCATATACTGTAATACTTAAGTGAATTTTACCCTAAATTGCTGTAAGTATTGCTAGACGTGAGGCGTACACTGCTGGCCTTTAAAACTGCAATACCACGAAGGAAAGCAAATAGAAAAAAGATATTTATTCCATGTAAACAGTATGACATAAAGAAAAAAATGATTAAATTTGCATTTTGCAGGTTTACAGAAGTGCAAAATTAGTAGAAACAGCTGCCACCCCTGGCAGCTAAGATGGTCCTTACCCTATTATCCATGCAGTCAAGCTGGGCTTGGATAACAGAAATGGGGAACTCATTCCATGCTGCTTCAAGTCTATGCCACACTTTATCAACCGCATTAGCTGGAGAGGGGTGGCGGGACAGTCTCTCAGCAACCAATAGCCAGATGTTTCCAATGGGTGACAGATCTGGAGACCGTGCAGGCCAAATGAGCAATGTAATACAATGTGTATCGAGGAAGGTCGGAACACGACGTGCGACATGTAGTCTTGCATTATCTAGTTGGAACATGGCGTTTGGGGGCCTGAAAGATAAAGCACAACCACCGGACGTAAGATGTCAGAAATGTACCCAACTGAGTTCAAATTACCTTCGATCCGAACTAGAGATGTGCGTGTCGTGTACCCAATGGCTGCCAAAACTACTACACCAGGTGCAGGGCCCCTATGCCGATATCGAATGCAAGCAGGCGACGTGCGGTCTCCTCAGACACTCATACGGCCATCAGAATACTGCATATAAAAACTGGACTCGTTTGAAATGGCGACATGACACTCCTGTACCCAGCTTTATCATTTTGCACACGAGAGTCGCCGTTTCTCTCTATGCTGCATTGTCAAGGGAAGCCGAAGGAATGGTCGCCCTGCTGATAGTCTTTACAAAGTACTTTCCGAATGAGAAATCCAATACGCAACTTTTATTTTATGCAGTGCTTCAGATGTCGTTTCTCCCTCATACGTCGTCTAAATGCGCTGGAATACTAATCATTTGCATACCCCAACTTCTTCTTCCTTTCATGTGATTTTTGACGTTCGTCAGATCATTCCTTCATGGTGTTGCAATTGTAATGGCTAGCAGTGTATTTTCTAAATAAAAATCGTATAAGAAGTGTTTAAAAGCTACAGATGTATATTTTACATTTAGAAAATCTTTCTCTACAGTTTACATAAAAGCAAGAGAAATCAAATAGTTCTCTAAAATGTCATGGATGGTTTTCGAACAAAAAAAGAAATAAAAGAATATAATTTTAAAATATTGTAATTAAAGTTTTCCTTCAAAAATCAACGTAGTTTTAATTTACTATTTCCTTACATGCCGTTTTGAAATTTTTGTAGTTCTGTGCATATCAAGAGGGAAGGCAAACTGATGGACTGTCTCGGGCGGCAAAAGTTCTAGCTAGTATGAGCTCAGTATACATCATCGATGATGATGGCATAATTTTACATTTAAGGTAATGATTTCTATACAGTAAAGAAATACCCCAATCATGAAGATTAAAGAACTTACCATCTATTATCAGCGAGAACATTTCGACCATCAAAAGAGTATATACGAGGAGGATATGGAAAGGGTGCTCCAGCCCCAGTGAAAACATCTTTCCAGGCATTGAAAATAACTTCGCCCTAAATAGAGGTACAAATAAAATTTGAACCTGAATACGGAAAACTCAGATTTTGTTATCAGTCAGATGAATCGAATTCTTACCTTGAGATTTACGACGGGTAGCCCAGCATCTTGGAAGCGTACAATGCTATCGAGGTTCTGAACCCGTGAGGCTAGGAAGGCCCGGAAAGTTCCCCGCAAATTAGCCCGCCTAGACTGTCGATAACATTCATAATCTGCTCCCCGGACGCCATGCATGTCCCCACTGAAGGGCTGGTTAAGAGCTGCCATTCGAAGCTGAAAGATCAAAATTAAATGTCAAAACACTGCTGTCAAATATTATGTTGCAAGTGAAGTTTAATGCGGTTGAAAAACTCGTAGAAGTTTAAGATAATTAACCAGTTATTATGATTTTCTTTCTGCAGTCCTCACCAGAATGCATATTAGTTGTCTGCGTACTTAAGGCGAGGGTTTGGATATTTTAATGTTTCTGGCAGTCCCGTATTGCTATTACTTACTATCACTAGTTCTGCGAAAGTTGTTCCTGCTTTAGCATCTTGCTAGCCAAAGTTTAAATACGCACCCTTAACTATCTTAAATCAGCTTAAATAGTCTATTGTGTGTGCAGTCTCGGACTACGTTACTTTCATTAGAATTTGACTCGGACCTTAAGTTAATATAAAAATAGCGATGGTTCGTCTGTCGCACAAGCAGCGCTTTCCATTCATTTAAGAGATGAATAGAAAGGTTATTTTAACCTTCTTAAGACTTCTCATTGCTTCAGATTAAAGCGACAACTCGCTTCCAGACTAGTAGGTCTGCAAAACATCAACACAAGATTTTATATATATAGCAGAATCTTCAAAACTGAAGATATTAAATTTTAAATCATGTAATATATTTTGACTTACGAACTCCTTTCTTAAAGTCAATCAACTCTTTCATTTCCTATTTTTATGATGAATGGCCTCTTTTGTTTTCTTGCGAAATCAAATGTTCGATTTATTCCACAGCTTCATTTGTGAAAGCTGTCACCCGTAGGTTTGGATTCATATATAAAGATAAGATTGCCTTGGCATACTGAGCAAACACATTGAAAACATTTATACGACGGAGTTTTTTGACCACATAAGATTCAGTAATAAATGCTTTTTAAAAGCTTTGAAATATTTTCCACAATGAAGCTTTTATAAAATTTAACCTTTTTTTTTGGAAGAACAGTGGAGGTTTCAATTTAACCTTCTTTAGTAGCGCATGCTTGAAGGAATTTACTTTTTGCAGAATTGAATTTGCCGGTATATTATTTGTAGTTTCAAAGTTAGAATTGATTTTTGTAGAATGTTTTCAGTTTCAAAATTAGAGAAATTCAACCTCATATTGCATTAATTTTAGAAAAAATCAATATGCACTTTGAAAGAATCTGATAGGTTTTGAATGTGAAATTTGAAATTTATTCCATGACACTGTAAAATAAATGATAATCTGCGGCTCAATTTATATTTTAAATTCAACTAGCAGTTCTTCTCATGCAGCTATTTTGTTTTATTCATAATACTTCTATTAACTTAAGAACGGTTTTTAAAAACAATTTTTTGGTCATTCCGTAAATTACATTTTATTCAAATTTCCTACTCTTATTAAACAAAACATGATTTTCTTGAGTGTAAGATTAAATGTAGAGATTAATATGTGATCTTATAAAAAGGCCTTGGTGAGTACATAGAGAAAGAGAAATTGTCACTAAAATCACAGCTGATGAGTTTAAAAGAAGTTTTGAGTAAAATAAACAAAATTCTGTCAGAAAATTGATATTAAACAGCAATACGTCATACAGACCGGTTTCGATGAGTCCGTATTCACTATAGGCTGGTTTGAAAATTTCAAAAGAAACTAAATTTTAATAGAGCAAAATAAAAATGATATCTAATAAAGTAGTAATAACACATATATAGTAGTTTATAGTTTTTTTTCCATTTGCATAGTAAGTTTCTTTTTAAGCGGTTTACTTTTAGGCGGTTTTAAAGTTATGCGACACAATACGAATTTCAGTTTTTGCTAAGCTTTCCCATTGTATATATACGTACACATTTTCTCCCCAAAAGGGAGGGGCACAGTTCTATATCTTCCATTCCACTGGGTAGATTGACAAAATTTAACTTGCCTTTTTATGTCTCAAAACACGACTTAGGATACATATTAGATTTATGTATAGCATTGTTCTAAAATAGGTAATATGATACAAAATTAGACGTTTTCTGAAATGACATAACTATTTTTTTCCATATTTTGATTCTACGATTCAAATATGCCTAAATATTAAATTTAATAAAATTTGGTGGGAAACTTAATTAGAAATTCAAGAATTTATCCGGGCGCACTTCTTTCAGTTTGCGCCAAGAATAATTCATTTGACGAAATTCTTAATTTATGGTTACCTATGTTCTTTTCCCTTCCATTGCGCACGCAAGGTAAAAGATGCAGTTTTCGTTCTTTAAAAATAGTTTTAACAAACTGCGTAAACCACATTTTGCGTTATTTATCGCTTATAACAAGCATGCCAAATTTCAAAGCGCGCCAATATGAATGAAATGAAAAATTCAAAATATATATGAAAAGAAAACACAAAGAAAATGTGCATACATCGAAGTTTTTAGAAAATAAATTACAAAACACGCATTTTTAAAAGTTATTTCTGATAATAATATTTATTAACCGTAACTTCTTAACACTGAAAAACGAGGAGAACTTTTTTACCACTTATTATCATTTCTTTGTTTGCATTAATTCCGCGATTAGTTGGGCTTCAAATGTTACGGGCTGTTGGTGGACCAGTTTACCTGAACTATGAGAGGTATTGCTGTACAATTAAAACAATAATTTTATGGAAAATTTCACGTATATTATCAACAGAATTTGATAAATTACAGAAAAAAGTAGTCATAAAAGAAATCCCCTTTGGAAGTCAAAGAATAAACTTACTTTTCGCCACATCTACTCCAAGGAAAGCAAGAAAGAGAAATCGAAAGAGATAAGAAAGAGCTAATAGACACTGCACTGTTAATGACATGATTTTTTATTAATAATTATTTTTGTCGTACACTCTGATGAGTCTTCATAAATAAAATTACGTTTTCCCATGAAACATACAGCTATGGTAACAACAGCAATGAAAACACTTTTTCTTTTTTACTGAGAACAAAATGCTTTGCTTATTACAAAGGTTCTAACTTTTTCATTAATATTTAGGTGAAATATTTTTATTTTTAAGGATTGCACTAATTCTGTTAGATACAGATGACATGTAACGGAGGACGGAGAACCTGGCGTCTACCATAGGTAAGCAAGTGTATGCCTCTCGTACTGAAGAATTAAAAAATTTAGATAAGATAGGCCATACAAGGGCCATACACCTGGCCATACAAGGACTAGGTGGTGGTACGGTGGCGACATTTTTGAAGACAGAGGATGCAAGAAACATAACAATACCAGAATATAAAACAGAGGACATAAAATATAAAATTTGTACAATGTAAAAATAGTAAATATGTAGTAAAATAAATAAATAGTACTATGTAAAAGTAGTTCAATACAAAACACAGTCAACTAACTTTTGACATTTTTTAACAGTAACAGAATGTCATGCATTTTTGCACATTTCTTAAAAGTCTCTTTAAATTAGATGGCTATGGTATTTAACTTTATATTTTAAACCATGCTATATGCTCTGGATTGAATTTAGATCTAGTGCCTGAGAGGGCCATGTGAGAACATTAATAATGTTTGGTTCGAACTAACTTTTGAGTTTACTAAATACTTCGGATCATTAAACATTGTCCATAATGCCAATTCAATGGCATCTTCTGCTCCTGGTCGCACTTATCTAAGATGTTCACATACACCTCTTTGACCATGACACCATCTATATGAATAACTAGGCCCATGTCATGCAGCCCCTCAAAAAAAATTAAGAATGTTACTTTTAACGGTTTTTCTTTTGCATTTTAGATTATATGCCTGGCCTTGAGATAGGGGAACATACCGTTCCCCATCCATTTTAAACAAATTCATTTTTATTTCACTGCTCACTACGTTTCTCCATTATTTCTTTAATTTACCAAGATCGTTTTCAATATGCTACAATTTGACTAAATACGTTATGCTTTTTCATACAAAATTTCTTTAAAAACGGAAAATTCTTTGGACTTCGAGAGTACACCCTTTATTTACCAGTCGAATAGTTCTTTCACTTGCCCTAAGACTATTTTCACTTTCAGGCTTTTAATGAACAAAAATTTTCCCACTACAATAAGCATTACGTTTCTCTCTTGAAGTTATGTTATAAGTTCTGCCCCTAGTTCAGGTACACTTTTATACACATATTGCCATAAACACCTTCTTTAAGGAATATACAGCAGATCTGGCTAACAGTCCATTATTGAGCATTGCTAAAGTAGTTTGTAGCTCTAAGCTATAACAATGTTTTACTCTACATACTTTTTTTTCTATAAAATTCATAGAAGAAAAAATAATTATTTGTTGAGAAATTTAAGAAACAAACAGAAACTGACACAGTTTATAAATAATTTACTTATTTTTTTTTAAAAGTGGTATAAGTAATTTCCTTTTAAAGTGCTTCTATTTTTGTGCAATCCATTTTTGGGAGAGTTCAGATGAAAACATTATGACAGTGGATCTCAACTTTTTTTGCCCCTTATGTGCCCTTAACCATTGCTAGAAGATCATTGCTCTCCTCCTTTCCAAAACTTCATAAATTAAAACTAAATAGCTAAACAAATAAACAAAAAGGCTGACCGCATCCCCTCTGATACTACTGATTTCCCCCTGGTTGAGAATCCCTGCATTATAATACGCAAACACCCAAATAAAATCACTGATGACAGTTACAGAATCCATAAATTATATCCCATATTGTACGTATTGTTAGAGTCCAAATAATATACATCAGAAATAAATTTAAAAAGTTAAAAACAGGCATGATTCTTACATTAAAATAATGTTTAAAAAACATGTTTCTGTTTTCTTAGCTATCAAGTGTAAGTTCTTAAAACATTAACTAATAAATTCACTAATTTTTCTTCTCTCATATCAATCTTTTTTATTCTATAACCAGCAATATTATGCTTCTGAATAGCACCTTTATGAGATACTTTACTTACCCGTGGTGCTTTATCCAGTCTCAAATTGTCGACAGGAGGACTGAAGGGGATATGCGTTGTTGTAGGTTTCTAAGATCAAAAATAAAAATGTACATTCATGTAAAACAAACTGAGTGAAATGAAAATAAATCACGAAAAGAAAGAATAAACGAACCTACCGTTGGAGTTGGAGTAGATTGTACAACTAATGATCCAAGCTGAAAAAATCAACTAAAGTTAAGATTTTTAAAGCAAATATTACATCTAAACTTATCTAATGTAATATTAACATCTATAAAAAGTCAAATAAACATTATAGGCCAATATGAACTATTTTCCAACTGAAAAAGGCAGCCATCTATGGAAAAATTTACTAACGGCATCAACTGATGCATAATGCAGATATGGACGACTGATTGGTGACTAAACAAATGTGGAAGCAGGATATTTCTAATGATGATGATAAAAATTGAAAAGGAAGAATGTGGACAAAGTTCATTTGTATAAGTGAGTGTGAAGACTTATTTTGCTATGTTATGGTAGTAGCGAAATACTAGGAAGATATGGCAGAACTTGAGGTAAATCCGAAAAAAGATGATCAGCGCGTGGCAGAGCGAAACAGTTCGCAGTCGTCCAAAGTACATCTGCAGCACTGTGGAAACAAATCAGAAAAACGATCAGATTTTGGAGTGTGCACTCCCTAAATAAATGGAGCAACGAAACGAAACTGCCATGTAAGTGCTGCGTTAGCAGATGAAATTCATAGTTAGCATGAGTAGGCAAGTTAGCACAAAACGCCAGACTGTAATCAGGCATTTAAATTATGTAAGTTTGTGCACACATTAGGCATGCAGTACGTAGGCTACGTAGGTTAATTTAGGTGTGCAATCAGCATGTGTTGCATTTTTGCCAGCATATAAAGCAAGTCGCTAACGACGGTGTAGTGAAATTCATCTGGAATTAAAGAGATAATATTCTGTTCATGGATGTAAGCAGATTTTATTTGCTTTCTGGTTCTACAAGTAACACATGTAGGCTGAACGTCATATTGCTTATTCCTCTAAAAATATCACGAAACTAATGATTACAAAGGTGGCGGAGTAATGGTTTAGAAGGGAACTGAGCAGCCGTTGTTGGGGGGGGGATAATGTAAGAAAATAGTTTCTCAGTAGTATTGCCAAAGTGTTATTGATATCACATAATAAAAAAAAATGTGATATTATACATAGATCGTAGCACCTTACCTGAAAGAAAGAAAGGTCAGATAAATTCAAGATATTAGACAGGAATAAGGTCTATATTTTATCATCCTTTGATTTACAGATATCATATATGTATGTTCATTTGATTAAAACCTGTATACAATGTATACATAACTACAGTCAAAAGTCGTTAATTCGGACACCCATAATCCGGAATGATCTATAAACCGGACCTCAAAGCTAAAAACTTTCTGCGCATGCGTCGAGTTCAGGCATGCGCATAGGCTTTCAAGAGTGCGCGTAAGACCTTTACGACTGCGAATATACATGTGCGCATGCGCATAATACGTTTACGCATGCGCGTTTATGTATAACGGACGGTATAAGCTAAATTATCTAATTATTTCAATCAGTTAAATTTATTTTTTTTGCGGCTGTTAGAGCAATTTATAAAAAAGCTTGACTTCCATTATGTCAAATGATTTCCGATATATATTTACTAATATGTAAAGGATCTACAAAGCGAAAGTATGTTTCGAAGTCCATTAAACAGAAAGTGGAATTGCTGCAAAAATGGATAAAGGCATATCCTTTGATTATCTAATCATTCCGAAATATGTTTATCAATTTCATAAACATATTTCGGAATGCTGCTCTGCGGGGGAAGGGAAACGACACGGCGCGCAATGAATTGGAAGTTGATCTGTCAGCACTATCCTTATCTTCAGGGCAGATGTTTTTTATTTATTGGCTTATAATTCTTTACTAAATGTAGTATTTCATCTCGATGTACTCGGTCTTTGATATGATTAAATCAAGTTCCTCGTCATTATAATTCGCTTCCGATAGAGAAGAAAGTGACTCAGAGGTTATTGAAAACGAAAAAATTTCGATTGACAAATTAGTCGGTATTTCTAGACACAGCAATTATAGGAGTTGAACAGCGGAACTTTGTAACTAAACAAGAAATTATGTCTGTTTAATAAAGAGAAAGTATTATCACATGAAACGAAGCAAATTATACAACTTACATTGAAAGAAATGTTTATAAAAGTAAACAAATAAATATTTTTTCTTTTTGTAAATTTGATACCCTTTAGATCATAATTGCTCTTTATTCATAAATTACGGTTCATATTTTTAATTTTATAATTCTGCATGCTATCTTAACAGATTTAAACTGATGATCTATAATCCGGAATCGCCGAAGTCCCGACGAGTCCGGATTAACGACTTTTGACTGTATTTTATTTTAACCAGGTTTAATGTAAAAACACTGCTTAAATGTAGAATTTAGAATAAGAGAGTTACGATTTGCAATAGAACAAGTTATTTCATTTTTAAACTGCCTTGGCGTAAGCTAATTTTTATACAGGTGTTGGAAGTTTAGTCATCTTTAGGAAAAATAAGGCTGACTTCATCATTTACTTTGCGCTAACGATCTGCTGTCAGATAAAGAAACTGAATGAAACAGAATGCATATTTCCGCAAAATACGCATTAAATGGTCTTGAAAAACGGTTTGAAGAAAGCAGTACATCACACAGTACTGGAAATGAAACTGAAATTGGAGACCATACCTCCCTCAAGATTAAGTCTCATTAAATGTATGAATCAACAGTATTAATCATTCACTGCCAAATTCAAGGATATAAAAATACTACATAAAAATTTGCTGCGAGACTTTATTCTCGTTTCGTATCACTCTGTTTCTTCTTTGGCGATAGCCAAAGATTGTATATTTTCCTCTCATTGTATGCCTTTTTAAATATATTTTTCTATTAAAAGCAAAAAATGCATACTTCTTTATATATATTCATTTCTATAAAATTTGTCTTCAAATTAAAATATTTTCAACAGCCTTCTCACATATTCAAATAAAGCTAACTATTTATTTCTACTTTTCACAAATATAATAACAGAGAATGTTCAGAAACTAAATTTTAATTGAGATTACAAACTAGCTATCAATAATAAAGTATAATATGAAATAAAAATGTTGTGTTAGTTTTCTTACCGCAACATATTGCCAGCCTTCGCTGACTCGAACAAGCAATGATTCTTCTTCTAAAACAAAAGCCAATGTGCCCAGAGGACTTATATCTGACATCCGAAGCAGTGTGTCCATACTCTTGAAAGTTACAGCCTAAATTATATAAAATAGATATAAATGTATAAAAATAAAATTGTGTGGTTGGGTTGATACTAGAATCTTTGAGGGCTAATTTCTCTAGATTAAATTCATACATATATACAGCAACTCCAAGTTACAGATTTTATGTATCTTCTTAGAATGAACTATGCTTTAACTTCAAGAACAAACTGAAATATTACACTTCCGAATTACATATTCTTTTTGACACTTTCGTAAAACTCCTTTTTAATACGTTTCATCGCTTTGTCAATAAGCAAATTATTTCTCATTTAAAACATTCGGAAGCTTGTAGAGTCTATCAGGCTTTTAAAAAAAAAAAAAAAAAAAAAAAAAAAAAAAAAAAATAAAAAAAAAAAAAAAAAAAAAAAAAAAAAAAAAAAAAAAAAAACAAAAAAAAAAAAAAAAAAAAAAGGAAACACGATCAACCAGCAATGCCCTCGCAAAGATTGGGATTCCGAACCTCCCGATTGCCAGCCAGAAGTGCTACCAATTACACCACTAAGGCACGTTATGAGGAAGAAGAAAACTCATTACATTATTTCCCATTGAATGGCCATCTAATCTGGCGATGAATTATCATATACCACATTTTAGCAGAGTGCTATATTACAGACTTAGTAGAATTTTTGGAATATGAAAATACCAGCTATGCTCTCGCCGCCGGGATTCGAACTCCTGATCTAGGAAAAGTACAGACTCAGGTAGGAGAAAATTTCTTACAAGCTAAAATGTATAAAGTCAATGGGAAAAAAGTCAATTTTTTTTTCAAATTTAATAATTATAGTTTTATTACTAAACTGTATTCTTTTTTACATAAAATTAATTTAATTTTACAAATCAAAATATTTTTCATGCATTCTTTTAGATTCTTATTAAAATTATAAAATGACGAAATGAGATCAAACTTTATGTACTGTTAATTTCATATTAAGTCATTTTAAGTGTTACATTTTTTAATTCAGTCACCTTCAAATCGTATGTAAGGAGCACTGATATTTTCTTTCATTAAAAGTTATATTTTTATTTCCTTAATTTTTTTTTTGAATTTTAGCATTTTTACAATCTACTCGAAAGATTTCGCAATCACTTATCAGTTTTTAAAACAGTATTGCGCTGTAAAAGTAGAGAGAAGAGAAAAGTCAATGACAGATGAGAAATATTTTTGACATTTTCACGAGTAGTCGTAATGTTTGTTAGAAACTTCTGTTTCTATAAACATTTTATTAGTTCGAAAATTAAAATAAGCTTTTTGTTTTGTCTTAATTTTGGCTAATTTTTTAGAATAGAATAAGGCAACAGAGGATATCTTGTATGCAAAACATTAACATTCAATCTCCTTTTCATGTTAATAGCTATAGAATGTTACAGCTATTAGAAATATAGTATTAGCGTTTTGGAATCTTTTTGTTATCGCCAGAAGCGTTTCACGCTAGTTTACGTTTATAAACTCTAAGTCGCCAATAAATTTAACTCTACTGACCATTCGAAAATTACACATTTCTTATTTTAATATTATGTTATAAAGGCTTTTATAAAGATAACTCAATTCTGTGAATTGTTTGACAAAAATCTGACTTCTTTCGTTGACTGACCCCCAAACTGTTGACGCGAATCTAATATTTGACAAAAATTAAATGCAGAAAATACGTAGAACATTAACAGGAGCATGCGAGCTGTCAAGCATTTGAACGCATCAAAATGCTCTTTATCAGATGTAAGAAAGATGAGCATTCACATACAAAATAAATAAATAAAGGAAGAATTCGAAAATATTCCAAGATCCCTCAACTGTGTTTGAATATCTGCGTCATGTATACGTTTGGTACGTCTCGTCTGTCACATTGACATTATGTTATTACAGAAGTAACTTCACGCAAAGTACAAGGATTGGTTTTCAAGTATTTTTATAAAAATTATCAAGTTTAGACGGACAATGAAAATTATTTTATGAGGCGTAATTTATCAAATTAAAATATTTTTGAAACAGAAGCAGAATTTTACACAATACAGCGCTATCGTATAAAAGATATTTGAGGCATTAAAAGCAGTTAAATGTTTCTATACATTACTGTCATAACAACAACAGAGATGACATATTTATAGAAATATAAGAAAACTTTCATACAGATTACAAGGTATTTTCTCCTTTCCATATGCCTTCATGGTGTAATTGGTAGCATACTCAATGCATATTCGACAAGACCAGAGTTCAAGTCCTAGCGAGGATACTGCACATTTTTCACGCCTCCTGCTTCAAGAAATCCTGATGACTTTAAAAGTGGCGCCCGAACTAAAAGGGTGGTGGACGATCATTCGTCCCACCTAGAAATTGGCGACTGAGTCCCCTGATCTCAGTACAACATGCTAGCAATTATTTTTAGGAATTCATATTACAAATATATTTTCTACCTAAGCATTGAGAGACTAAAATTACAAATATTTATAAGCTGTCAGTTATATCTTTTTGATTTTTCCCAGTGTCATCTGAAGTAAGAGGAAAAATCTTTTGTTCAAATGTTATATAATTTTCTTTAGCTCTTATTTTCTTTGTAACGATTTTATTCATCATGTTTAAAAGTTTTCTTTTCATGCATATAAAGACTACGCGACAAGTTGAAACACACACAGACCACAATGACAACCATTTTTAACATGTCCTTACTTCTCTTTGCCTTTCGGTCAAAGTTTCGAAGGTGCTTACAGCTATTGAAGACATTTGTGCTGTGTACGGGGTGTACGCCGAAAACGTCGCGGAGAAAACAACGCAAGAAGAAAACATCGCAGTTCTAAAACATCGTGGTCTATAAAGCGGTTCAAAAATTTCGCAGTTTAAAAACATCGTCGTCAAAAATATCGTGGTAAAAAATAAAATATCTATAAATCATCGCATGATGATAAAATCGCAAACATGCGCTTTCAGGTTTTGAAAATTATAAACGCATGTTTGTATAAAGATCATAGAGAGCAAGAAGGAAAGATGGACTCTTTTACTTCTCTATTTCATATATTTGAACGAACTATAATAATTTTGCTGAAAAAATAGAAGGAAAAGCATTAAAATCGAAATGAGTAGAAAATTATGCAACTTAAAAAGCTTAATAGAATTTTAAATTTCTATAGTTAATTAACAAAGGTCATTAATAAATTAAGCTTTTTTCTATAAAGTTTAAGTGATAATTTTTCATGAAAAATACAATATAAAAATGTTTAGAAAAAGGAAGATAAATAACTGCATGAGGTTACCTCTATAAAAATCAATTCATTAATGATCAAGTTATTTTCTTTCACATTTGTTAATGTGATATTGTTTTAATGAAAATTACATATTATTTCTTTCTGTTTATTCTTAAAGTTTAGTTAACGTTTCCATATATGGCATGTAATTATTTTTTTGGAGATCGATTTGTTAGTTATGACGAAAGTCAGTTACATAATATGTCACGATGCGATTTGAAACACGCATGTATGCGATGTTATCGTCATGCAGTGATTTTGTAGGTACTTTATTTTACCACGATATTTTCGACGACGATGTTTTAAAACTTTGCAGTTTTTGAACCGTTTTTTTTTCGACTACGATATTTTAGAACTTCGATGTTTTCTCCCACCATGTTTTGTACCACGACGTTTTCTCCGCGAATGTTTTCGGCTTCCCGTGTACGTCGCGGAGATTTTACTACTAAATCGAAACAGTTATTCGCCCTAGTAATCCTAACCAGCTATTTTAACTTGCGAAACCCTGAAAAGTCTGCTTTTTCTAAGGAACACTTTGAGTTTATTTGACTGAAAAGTCTGAAGGACACTTGAGTTATACATTGAAGTTGTTACATTTAAACACAGGGGGATAATACCATAAAATTAGGCATGCCTAATTTTATGGTATGCTTATTACAATATTGAACTGTTGAGTATACTTATTACAATATTGAATTACGTAAATACAATAGAGTTGGTATATTGAAGACCGTTGCACTGGAATTTTCATATTTTTATGTAAGTAGATAAACATATGGGGTTTGATTTTGCTAATATATTGGAATGTTTGGTTCTTCTTATGTGAGGGCATTTGTTACAAGTAAGACTGTACTTAACTTAGATCTTTCAGACCAAAGTCCAAAGTTCATGGGCTCAGCTCAGTACATTTGGTGTTTTGAAGCATTATGGAAATTATTGATATTGCTAGGAATCTGTTATTGGGGTGCAGCCTAGTCAATCTGCTTTCCTCTTTTTTCCTTTTCTGACCTAAGATGTGACTTCTTCGCTTGTCTTTTTTTTTTTTTTTTTTTTTCTTTTTTTTTTTTTTTTTTTTTTTTTTTTTTTTTTTTTTTTTTTTTTTTTTTTTTTTTTTTTTTTTTTTCCTTTTGTGCACTTGTCCTGACCTAGCGTTTGGTGTATTTTAATGGTTTTGGGATATATTTGACGATGAGATATCACCAGTCTTTTGAAATTTAGGTCTAGATTGGTGGGTTCCCGGATGTGCAGATCACTTGTAAGAGGGCAGGAAAAGTGCTTTTACTCTTCAAGAACGAGAAATTCGACCACGTAGAGCCATCTTCGAGACATTGTACTAATCAATTAGGAAATTGGCCAATCAGAAGGTAAGTTTTCAACATACTACCTTGTCTTCCGTCACTTTCTATAAGGAATGTCCAAAACTCAGTGCATAAATATTACATGCTCTAAATGAAAAGAAGAAAACTTCAGCGCTCCACTATCAGCGCAGACTTATTCATTGACATAAACTAATGGAGGGCACATAGATACACTCTTTTATCACATTATACACGGCGATGAAAACTGATGTCCCTACATAAGTATGAAGAAGAAAAAAATATAGCTGAGTCCTAACAACTTTTCGAGCCAAGAGAAAGCTGCAAACACACAAGCGAATGGCATGCGGTTGATGGGGGTAGCAAGATGTATAATGCACCGGGAACTTCAGAGAAACCTGAAAACTATCAAAGCAAAACTTTACAACCAGAAAAAGCAGAGCTTTTAATGAGGCAATCCAGCTAAACGACGCTACCGATGATACGTTCTTCAACACGCCAACACTCGCTCTAAAGTCACTAATCAGACCAAGACTCCAGAGCTGAATAGAGAATTTCTACTACACCTACTGTATTATCCTTACCTAGAAACTTCAGACTGTAACCTTTTTTAGTCACAATCCAATCATTTACGATCCGTTTAGTTCAACAGTTAAATAAAGCTGAAAAAGTGGTTCGATGAATTCTTCAAGGACTTCTTCAAGGACTCTGCTGTTGAGATATTAACATACCAGTGGAGAGCTGACAACATGCGAAGAGTAAAGGAGGGTATTTTATTGACTGAATCGTAAAAAAAGGTTTATTGAAAAACTGAAACAGATTAGAATAATTGGAAATATTTCTGTCATTCTTTTAAAAATGTATAATTGCTGGAATAAAACCGAAAGAACTTATCTGACAACTCTAAAGTTATTAACATAAAATCCATCTTACCCCTGGAACTACTGTAGGTCTTCTGATCTCTTCGGGAGCAGGATTGATTGCAGGTTTCCCTGGAGGTCCAGGGGGTCCTGGAGGACCCGGTGGACCAGGTGGCCCAGGAAGAATCTGCACACCTAAATGTTAAAGAATCAACATCACATATTTGTCAAGCAAATGCTATGGATATGAAAAATTATTTATAAGTAACGTATAGTTGCAAAATATTTCTGAAACTCTGAACATATTCGTCATAAATCAACATCATATATTTGTCAAGCAAATGCTATGGATATAAAAAATTAGTTATAAGTAACATAGAGTTGCAAAATATTTCTGAAACTCTGGAATATGATGTAAGGCATTGAAATGTAAACTCTGCTAGGTAAATGTTCTTTTATAAAGCAGACGCTAGAGAATGATTTCAATTTTAAAATCGTGCTCAATTCAGACTTAGATTACCTTTTTGATTACAGAGGAATGATCTACGAAACTTCAGAATTTGTTGCTGGCCTCCCTTCCTTAAGCAATTAACGCTAATTTAAGACTGAATTTGGCCAATTATTAAAATTCTTCGATAAAGTTGAACAAAATAAATACTATGAAAAACATATATTATAAGTGCTAAAAGATTTTCGATCATAATTTTCGAAGATAAAAATTTAATTATGCAAAAATATTTCGCATTTGTATGGATTTAAAGTTAAGTTTTAATGTATTAAATGAAACTTACCATTCCTGTGGGCTGTTAAGAAAATATTAAAGATTAAAAGTACATTTGCTATTCTACAAATCTTACCTTTCGCTCTAGTAAATGATCTCAATCCCTTAATTCCGCGATATGCTTGGAATAAAAAATATTTTTAATTTAAAATTTAAAAAATCATGAATGAAACTTTTTAACTAATCTACGAAAGAAATCATAATGCACATTTCGTTAAGTTTTTAATGATTAACTTTTTAGCACTGCAGTTTCTTCGGAATAAAGAAAATTACTTGCAGCGAAAATTATAACCTAGGAAATTAGGATTTTTATTAAAAAAGCAAATACACAACAAATAATTTTACCGCAGCAGCGCAATAAAGTATTTTTAATAACAAAAGCATTCCAGGTGTAAAATTTAAACAAACACGCCTTATACAGTGAAAAAATGCAGATGCAGTATTTAGTTTTGACGCAATTCTTACCTCTTCGTCCTACGTTACTACTGCCTGTCCAGTATGGATTTGTTCGACCGCCTCCAGGAGGGCCAGGTGGGCCTGGAGGACCAGGTGGACCTTCAATAGTTTCCCCAGGTGGTCCCTAAAGAAAAATATTCATGTTATATTTTATTCTTTCGTGAAGTATAGATATAAGAACTGATTAAAGCTTTGAAATATGTAGACATACACTGAAGTGACAAAAGTCATGGGATAACTCCTAATATTTTGTCGGTCCTCCTTTTGCCCGGCGAAGTGCAGCAACTCGAAGTGACATGGACTCAACAAGTCGTTGGAAGTCCCCTGCAGGAATATTGAGCCATGCTGCCTCTATAGACGTCCATTAATTGTGAAAGTGTTTACGGTGCAGGGTTTTGGGCACGAACTGACCTCTCGATGATGTCCCATAAATGTTCGATGGGATTGATTTCGGGCGATCTAGGTGGCCAGATCATTCGCTGCAATTGTCCAGAATGTTCTTCTAACCAATCGCGAACAATTGTGGCCCGGTGACATGGCGCATTGTCATCCATAAAAATCTCATCGTTGTTTGAGTACGTGAAGTCCATGAATGGCTGTAAGTGATCTCCAAGTAACTGAAGGTATCCATTTCTAGTCAATGATCGGTTCAGTTGCACCAGAGGACCGAGTCCATGCCATGTAAAACAAGCCCCAGACCATTATGGAACCACCACCAGCTTGAACAGTGCCTTGTTGACAACTTGGGTCCATGGCTTCGTGGGGTCTGCCCCACACTCGAACCCTACCATCAGCTCTTACCAACTGAAATCGTGACTCATCTGACCAAGCCACGGTTTTCCATTCGTTTAGGGACCAACCGATATGCTCACGAGCGTACGAGAGTCGCTGCAGGCGATGTCGTGCTGTCAGTAAAGGCACTCGAGTCTGTCTTCTGCTAGCATAGCCCAAGGAAGACAAATTTCGCCGCACTGTCCTATCGGACACGTCCCTCGTACGTCCCACATTGATTTATGCGGTTATTTGACACAGTGTTGCTTGTCTGTGAACATTGACAACTCTATGCAGACGTCGCTGGTTTCGGTCGTTAAGTGCAGGTGGTCGGCCACTGCGCTATCCATGGTGGGAGGTTATGCCTGAAATTAGATACTCTCGGCATACTCTTGACACTGTAGATTTCGGAATGTTGAATTCCCTAATGATATCCGAAATGGAATGACCCATGCGTCTAGCTCCAACTACCATTCCGCGTTCAAAGTCTGTTAATTCTCGTCGTGCGGCCATAATCACGTCAAAGCCTCTTCACATGAATAACTTGAACACAAATGAAAGCCCTACCAAAGCACTTCGCATTTATAAATTTTCTACGCGATACTACTGCCATCTGTATATTTGCATATTGCTATCCCATGACTTTTGTCACTTCAGTGTATAAGCCGACACGAATTTTGTAGCTTACGTATTCAGGTGGGATTGAAAAGATTTAATAAATAGTTCCATTCAAAATAAACGACAATGAACAATTAATTAAGGAACAATAAACTGTTTGGATAAATATTAGAATTTAATTTTAACAACCGGTTCGCCAAATTAAAAATATTTTCGAAGCTGCTTTGAGAAACCAGTGTGAATTGGGTGAATGGCCTATGTGTCACTATGGGTACATTCATAGTGACACATAGGCCAAAGGTCCCAGAAGAAAACAGATAACTTTGAAAAACTGTTGTCACCTACTTATGAAGGGTGACCCAAAGCTAACTGTATAGAGATTTTCAGGATAAGTTAACTTGCATAAAGATAAATCGGAATCTTATAGCAAATCAGAGCCGAACATGCAATCTTTCACGGGCTAGATGGTATACTTTGGTCATTATGTGTTCTTTCAGGATACTGCCATTTGTGAAGCAGCTTGGCTGGAAGATTGTCGGATGTGAGAAGCCTTGATTACTTCTGCTGTTATATCAAAAGACTAGTGTTCCATATTCCCGTTGAAAATGATAAGGAACTTACAGCAGGTATTGTTGGAATTATTTCTGAAGTCCGAGACACGCCGAGAATTTCCAAAATGCATGTCGCTGCATGGGCCTACGATGTCAAACATGTATTACAGTTCATGGCTGCAACTCTGAACATCTTCCTGCAACCTCAATATATTTCATAAATGTTTTGAGAGTAATTAAAAGTATTTTGTTCTTTTGAGTACTATTCTTTCATTTCCCGTTTTTTCTATACACTTACACACGAAAACAGCATTTTAGATGATGTACTGCTATATACTCTAAAAACCTACCTCCTCAGATAATCTCTCCAGTTCAAAATTTAAGTGATTTAAAATTAGCTTGGAAATGATTGATAATATCCAATTGTTTGAAACTGTTATTGTAACATTAGTGTATAATTCACACTGCACAGTTTTTATACACTGCGATTATTCTAAATCTAAACCTTCTATGAAGAAATTTCAAAGAACAGATAGCTTGACAGTTTTCTGTTACGAAACCACGAGCTGATAGACAGAGAGCGCTGAGTAACAGCGCTCGAGCAATGCAGATGTTTTTGAGATAAAAATAAACAGTTGAGAACTGAGCAACGAAAAAATATGGTCCCGTGTAAAAACAAATGCAGAACTGTAACAAAATTATTGGTGATGTATATATTTTGTAAATAGAGTGTAATAAAATTTGTTCTAATAGCTTCACATTATTGAATTTGTGAAGATTTACCTGGCAGTCAGATTGAACGTAAGTACAAAGTAATTAATTTGATATTTTGTATTTTTTCGTAACGTAACAGTTTCTGTAACTTATTTAATTGACTTCAGATATTAAACCTTGATATAAATACGTTTGGAAAGGAGGGGTGATAAAAATACAATAACTTTATTTTCTTTAGAGAATAACTGACATGCATAAATCAGGAAATAAAAACGGTGAAAGCACAGGCACCTCAATGAATTAGTCAAGGCAAAATCAAAATTTCTTTTGGAATTAATATCAGTTGAAAAGAAGTGCATCGAATGAAAGGCTAATCTTTTTTATGACTAGTAATGTATTTGTAAACCACAATAAGATCTACTTCTGATCAAGAGGAGTCATGTTTACTTTTGAAATGAATTTACTCCTTTTCTCTTAAAATTTAGATCAAAACAAGATTAAATTTCATGAAAACTGGAGCCCGTTTTTTGTAAATTTATTACCATACAAATGTTATGTTCGCAAAAGCAGAATTTAGTTTCAGTTCATATAAAAATAGTCAGAAAACAACATAGATCTAGATGGAATCTCAAAAACTTTGACTAGTTAATTTCATTTATTTGCAGTGAAAGTCAGTAATGTGCTGGTACTCACCAAACACATATATATCTAACAATATTAAGAGGTATTAGAAGCCAAAAATCTTTAAAAAATGATGATTTGAGATTTTTGCATTTTCAAATTCTGTACACTTTTAGTTTTCTAAAAATACCATACTTAAATCTTTATGACAATTAGAACTTTCAAAATTCTAGTTTAATTTTAGTTTAATTCTAGTTTAAGTTTTAATTTGTCATCGAATGCTTTGACAAAAGAGGATTTTTACGTAAAATCGCTATTTTCTCCAAACATGATTTTTTATACTCGATGTACCTTTTCTAAGCTCACAGGTATGTAAAATTTCGAAGAAGATTAATGTTACTGAAGAACAAATGCAGAGTTGGATGGATGTAGAAGAATTTCTCCCGTTACATTCCCTCAAGATGATGATAAAATTAGATATGTACTGGGAAAGAAGAAAGACGATGAAGAGAAAGGGCAGAATGAAGATTAAGATTGTACGCTGAATAACAGAGATTTTACGTGGGAGAAAGTTGAAGAAAGATTATAGACTTTCATAAGATTTACCGAGGAAGTTCATCGATGTTAGCACATGGTGTCACGAAGCTTCATTGTATACACAGTGAATTTTTAAAACTCTTGCAGCAATCTCGAAAACAGTATTCAAAGTTATATCTCCTTGCACTGAGAAATTCCCAAGTTTCATTTGATAATACATAAACATAGGGTAATTTAAAAATGCTTAATATTATTTTTCTGAGATATGAAATCATATGCTTCAATTTTAAGTAACTTATACGATAATCTATATTCTTTAATAATGGCCTGTACATCGGCAAATATGATGAAAAGACTTTGGATGCTGCAATTTCTACAGATAATATCACAAAATATGGACAGGTAAGTTCTAGAAAGATATATTTAATTGGATAAATCTTTTGTCTGGAATCGTGGAGGTCCCGTTGAGTCTGTTAAGAAAGATCCTACTGTAATTCTAAATCTGTTTGCTTCAAGAACATATACTCAAGCACTCGGAGAGGATTTTACTTAAATTTGAGAAAAAATGGGATCAGGAGGAAAAACATAAACAGTTCTTTTGTTTTAATACACATAATTTTACAGATTATCCAGTAAAGCAGGTGGGCCGAAGCATAATAAGGCAGTAGTCTCAAACAAGCGGGCCTCGAAGCAATTTTATGTGGCTAGCAAATACATTTGAGTTACGTATTTGTTTTAGTACAGCGCTTATAGATTTCAATATAGCGTAAATTCATTGGGCAGCGGATTGCAGTAGTTTTTTTTTAAGAAAATTGGAAAGTACTAGCAAACATTTCAACAATCTTTACATTCCAGCTGAGTTCAAAGTGCTGGCTTCATAGCCGAAGGTACATGACGCATAGATTACAATGCTCTGACAGATTCGTAAAAAAAGCTAAGAGAAACAAACGACATTAATCATCGGATCTCAAGAAATGTCAATTTAAAATATAAACACCATTAGAAATATATGTTTTGTGTTTATATACAAGACTGCTAGTGAATGAAAACGAAATAGAATGGTTAGGTTTATGATGTCAGTTAAATGAAAAAAATTATAGATTTTGTATACTCGCATGCAACACAATATAGCTAGAACAAGGTGGTAGGTCAGTAAAATTTAGAAGTTTATTCGCCAGCCGAAAGTTTGAAAAGCTTTTATATTTTGGTGTGTCCATTTTTTAAGTTAGTATAATGATTGGTACTTTTCTTGAGTCAGCCAATAGTTGCTTGAAAATTATGAAGTCTAACAAAAGAGGCCGATTGGCCGATGAGAATCTATAATCCAGGATTAAGATAGTTCCAGTAATTTTTCTCTAAGTCTACAAACGTTATCAAAATAGAAACGCCATCAGATGTCACGTTATAGTAAAACACCAGAGAAATGTATAATTATTAACATTATCATATTGTTACGTGCATACGAGTTCGTAATGGTTTATATACACACATAACCGATGATAGCTTGATAAAATTTATTTCCCCAAAAGAAAAACTTTACAGTTCTGGAACTTTTCACAAAAGTACTCGTACAGCTTTTCTTAGTATAACATATCACAATTCGTAGTTTCGTAACGTTAAACACACTGTAAACAACTATGAATGTTAAACACAATGCAGTGCAAAGCGCATCTAAAGAGCGAGGCTCGTACAGAATTCTCTCAATACTCTGAACGAAAACCTGAGAACCTCTCTCCGGTCTTATACAGCTATAGTTCCATCCCCCGTGGTTGTGAAATTTCCAGTACCTTCGATTTCTGGAAGGCATACACAGTTACAGTTATATATCGCCGGATACACTCACAGTTAGTACATTGTGATAGAACCAGTTATAGTTACACACGGGTCAGACCAATATGTCACTAAATGGTTCCCCAGTTCGACGACTTTTGGAGAGACAGCGATTTACTTCAATGTTAAATGAACTTACCCCTGTAACCTTATTTTTCTGGCAAAACTTTCACTAAAATTATTCACATATACACAAAATTCAACAATATGTACAATATGTATTTTTCTGCATTAGTCGATAAAAAAGTTAATACATAAAGGAAAGAGAATAGGTTGTTGGTATTTATTCTCAAGTTTTATTCCACTGGAGAAGTTTTTTGTGAAAATTGGGTATGTTTTCACAATTTGTTGAAGTTTATGTTAAAATTAAGTGATTTAGTATTTAATTCAACATATTAGAAATATGTGAAATTAATGTTAATCCAAAAATTTTATATTTAGCTGCTAGTACATTTTAATTAAGAAATGTAACCAACAGAAATTTGTTACAGATAGAAATCAACACAATACATTTGAATTTTTTCCTTTACATTTGTAATTTATTCGTTTACACATGTTTTGACAAATATCGATATTTAGAAAGTAAAATTTGAAATCAAGTTAAAATTTAGTTTTAAATTTAAAAAAAAAATGGTTCTCCAGCTGCGTTCAGGTTATGTATGCAGACCGCCAGCTGCTTTCAGGTAGTGCATGCGATTTGCATGCAACTTGAGTTTCAGACCCCTGGCTTAAGGCATTGCGGAATACCTTTATCAAAATGTTTCGAAAATTGAAAGAAAATATAACAGCTTCACAAAACTAAATTAACTAGAAGAAAATAAGCTTTTATGAGTCTTTAAATGACGCTTAGAAAAGAAAAGAAATTCACCTTCTTTGTCTGTAAAACATACTGTAACATAACGTGTAAAATGATTTCCACACGTAAACTACATAACAGGGTGTCATTAAAGGAAATAAACTAGCATAAAATTCAAAATTATTGCATGAAACTAAAATTTGAAATTATTATAAATTTTAGAATATTATTTTAGAAATATAGATATTAAACTATAGTTAGAGAATTATAATCATGCAATATTTGAATTAATTATCTTAGAAATATAGTTATAAAATATTTTACAACTGTAATAATTTTTATGATATATGTTTCAGTGATAAACTTAGATATATCTGTTTTTACTATTTTTTAATACATACTCTAGGTCCTGGTGGTCCAGGAGGTCCGGGAACTGGTACAAAGTTTCCTGTGATCCCGTCTCCTAACCCACCAGGGGGCCCTGGAAGTCCTGGTTCACCCTGAAAAAGAGAAAAGCTTTTTGTAAATATTATGAACTACTCGCGACTTTTGAAATTATATCAGATAGCTTAAAATACAAAAATATTCAAATTTAAATGCACTATTCATTTTAAATATGAAACCTGAAGAGAAAAGTTCTGTAAAAAAATGTCAGTCTCAATTTATACCGAAATTTTAAAAAATTGCACTTCTACCATACAAAGTGTCGGAATTTTCCTATAGTTTATATATTAAATACCTGTGGCTCTCCATTTTATGCAACTTTTTAACTATCTGAGGAAACATCTGTCATCGTTATTTCGAATAATCAAAATTTTATAATTACCGAAGGAACTGATATTTTTGCGTCTTTCTTAGTTACTAATCTGAGGTGAGTGTCTCATTCACTTCATCGCCACCGGGCCTAACTGTCGTTTCAAGAAGGAACAGCCTGAAAATTTATGTGTGTTGGCAAAGTTGTAAAATTTAACAAAATAATTTTGAGTAAAAATTATTAAAAAGGATTTGATTTGTTTTGAAACATAAGATACTTATACAAATGAAAGGCAGATCCTGGATTTATCACCATATTTTCGCTAGAAGAAGGTTCTGGAAAATTGTTAAATATCCACGCAACCACGGAACATTTTAGGTCTTGTTCAGTTACTTGGAAAATGTTTTTTAATAATGAGTGAACATTTCTGTTGGGTTGTGTCTAAAGAAACTTATGTTCACTATTACTGTACTTAAAAATGTTCAGAAAGAAATAATCAATTTGTCAGGAAATTCTAATCAAGAAAATATACTTATTCGAATTAGATCAGCAAAATCGTATTTTCAGTTGTCCCCAATTATAAATCCTTTGTTTACAATACGGTAAGCAACTTTCGTTAACAATAAGATTTTTAGGCGTAGAACATATTACAATAAAGGCACATTTTATTAGCTACATCCTGTTATTGAGAATACAGAACAAGTATTATACGAGAGTGCATGTATTCCTACTATAACACGGTAGATAGATTCTTAGAGTAAGAAGACGGAATGTATCCATGTGTCCCAATTTGTTCGAGGAAGAATGATACTCTACCGTGTCTCTGGATTATTATATCCTCATGTTGGTCGAAATCCGATATCTATATGACACAGCAACATGCAGACTCACAATGATTTCACGCACCAACACCGAGAAGACAAATACCTTATGCGAATGACTCATAGGAATCGTAAAACCACACTAGGTACCGCAAGAAGTGCCTTTACGAGGCTCAGACATCTTGCGAATTGCAGACTGTTTGCAAGGCGATTTTCGCTGTACCTACGCAACAAAGAGCCATCTTTTAATAGCACAATGTACAATCATATGTTGCTCTCAACATCCTACACTTATAGACAGAGCAGATTTTGCCTTAGCCGGCGTATACATCAGATCTTTCGCGAACTCAACATGTTTGATCTACGCTATCATACACATTGACATGACAAAAACTTCCAGCGGATACGACACATGAACTTTGGCCACGAATTACAGCTACCTGGGCTGTAATATACCAAAATGCCAACCAATTCTATGTATCGCCATATAGCAGCGTTTATAATTGCTTATGGTGGCCGCATTAAGTAGGGATTATAATGCATTTCGTTTTTCCAAGTACCTAAAATTTTAATGATTTCATCTTCGTATTATAAGGAACCTACAAATAAACTTTGTACTGTAAATTTTTACTGTTGCGGTGCTGCAGATTTAATGATCATGATAATTATTTTGATATATAGAAATGCTGAAATGAAATTAAGTTCAAGGAATACAAAATTTTAATCACATACAGATGTTTGTAAACTATTTCAAAAACGTAAGAACGTTGATAGTACCCGTGAAGACGAACAACATTTACAATGAATCCGAAGGCCTCATTTCACTCATATTCTTGAAAAAGAGCAACTTCAAAACACATGCAACAAGCATAAAATGTCAATTCTGACGTCATTTCTGTCTTTCTACAGAAGTAGCTCATTTCCAGAGCGCCACTGTCAGGTATTTACCATATGTCAATTTCTAGTGAAGAGAATTATGGATTAGGCACGCTGTTTTCTCATATATAATTAATATAGTTGTTACCGGCAATGCATGAAATACGGCATTCTATAGAACACCTAAGCATTTTATAGAATGCCTGGAGGTTTTAGGCAAAGTATGAAAAATGAGAATTCTTACATAATTTACCTAGGCATTTTATGGAATGATAAATGTGCTTTAGACAAAGTATAAAAGAAAGGTCATGATAAGCTATTATTTAAAAGACGTTCATTCCTAAAAATATAAATGTTATTTTGAAAAAAAAAAAAAAAAAAAAAAAAATGAAAGACTGCCATTGAAAAACTTTTATTCTAAATATGTAAAAAAAAAAAAAAAAAAAAAAAAAAAAAAAGTAGTGAGATAATCTTGATACAACATAGTAAATTTCTATTCTCTATCTCACTGGAAATCGATAATATCTACCTGACAACGGCAATTTAATTCAGAACAAATATAGGTTTCGTAAATAGTGCCCTTTTTAATAACTTTTTTTTTTTCTGACAGGGTTCACCAAAGGTATATATATATATACAGTTCACTATCATTCCGTGGTATTAGGTGTAAAGTTCCTTCAACATTCCGTGCTCCGTGTCCTCCGTGCTCAGCATCCAAATGAATTTCATGAAATACATGAAATAACGGACGCCTTCTTTAACAGGAATGAGTTTATGAGTTAAATGAGTTTACTTTTGCTTTCCACAAACATCACATCATAGCGATTCAAAAACCAATCGTTAAATGGTTCCCTTTTAGCAGCCATTTTGTATTTTTTACATCATGTAACAACTTCTTGTAAGTAGTTTCGGTTATTCGAAAAGAATCGCACATGTGTTTCATACTTTGCCGATTTGTCATTTGGCCTTATATAAAATGCCTAGGCAGTGTGTGAAATTTTTAATCGTTTCATACATTGGTCGGAAAATTTACGGCATTCTGTAGAATGCCGGATCGGATTTCGAAATCCGATCCGGACAGTAACATAGTTATTATATCTGGAATGCTTTTACTTTAGTTCATGTGAGCAAAAATTGGTAATTTTGTGACGGATATGATAAACTGTCGAAATATTTCCATTTCAGAAATTAATTTTTAATTCATTCATTGCTAGCCAGGTGTTTCAGACATTAGATTTTTTAAAAATTTGTTTCCCTTAATACACTGATGGCCATTAAAATTGCAACACCATGAAGGAAAGCAAATACAAAAAATATATTTATTGTGCACAAACAGTATTGCATGAAGACAAAATGATTAAATTTGTAAGCAGTTTTGGGGTTTACAGGGGTGCGAAATCAGTAGAAACAGCTACCACCGCTGGCAGCTAAAACGGCCCTTACCCGGTTAGGCATGGAGTCGAACCGGACTTCGGAAACAGAAACAGGCAACTCATTCCATGCTGCTTCAAGTTTATGCCACACTTCATCAAACATAGTGGGGCCCACCAGCGGCCGAGCGGTAAAGTCGTTGAACACTGGTAGTTCGGTCCGAGGTTCGAATCCCGCGAACGGGCTGGCTGCATGGGCGTTTTCGTGGTTTTCCCCATGTGTAACGTGTATACGAGCCAGTTTCCCTTAGAAAGTCCTCCACGAAGGCATCCCTCCCCTTAGGCAGATAGCCCTCGAAGCTTTGCCATAATCACACACACACACACACACACACACATCAAACATAGTAGCTGGACAGGGTTAGCTGGCAAGTCTCTTACCAACCCATGAACAGATGTTTTCAACGGGTGACAGATCTGGAGACCGTGCAGGCCAGGGCAGCAGTCGAATATCCTGCGTATCGAGGAAGGTCAGAAAACGAAGTGCAACATGTGGTGCATTATCTTGTTGGAACATGGTCTTAAGCAGGTTTCGAAGATAGGGTACAACTACTGGAAGTAGATGTCCGATCTGAATATAATACCGGTAAGAATACCGATCTGCGTTCAAATTACCGTCGATCCAAACAAGAGATGTACGTGTCGTGTATCCAGGGGCTGCCCAAACGGTCACACCAGGTGCAGGGTCCCTATGCCAATATCAAATGCAAGCAGTCTCCTCGGAACTTCCAGACACATATAAGGCCAGCAGAATACTGCATGCAGAACCGCGACTCGTATGAAAAGACGACGTTGCGTCACTCCTGTATTCAGCTTTGTCGTTCGGCGCACTAGATTTGCCGTCTCTCTCTGTGCTACATTGTCAAGGGAAGCCGAAGTAATGGTCGCCGTTCTGATAGCCAACGCTGCTGCAAACATCAACGCACCGTACGAGCGGATACTGAGCGTGTTGCAAACATGCCCATTTCCTGACTAATGGTTCGTGAAGCGGTTTAACGGTTTTATAGGGCTGACCTCACAATATGTCTTCCCCCCTCGGGTGTAAGTCACGGGAGGGAGCTGAGGCCCTTCATGCCGTTCAGTATGACCCTCAGCAATTCATTGATTCCATATTCGCATGACAATGGTTAGATGTGTCTGACGATATCACGGAACGGACGACCGTCGCCTATCGAGAGTTTGGATTAGGCGACGATCCTACCTCTATCGAATTCCGACAGTCGCTGGTAAGCATTTCTTCTTATTATTCGAGGCATAGCACGATATTGTAAGAAAACTGCGACCTTACAAAGCGCTTTCCGAATGAGAAATCCACTACAAAACTTTTCTTTTACGCAGCGCTTCAGACGTCGTTTCTCCCTCCTGCGTCATCTAAATGCGCTGAAATACTAATCATTTGCATAACCTAATCTCTTCTTCCTTTCATGTGATTTTGACGTTCGTCAGATCATTCCTTCCTGGTGTTGCAATTTTAATGGCCAGCAGTGTAGATGACATTAAATATCGCTTAATCATTTTCAAATGTTTAAATATTTTGCATTACTTTGGAAAGAATGTAATAATTTGAGTGAAATATCCAAATCCTTTTTTTTTTTTTTTTTCCAGAAAAGTTTACGATAATATATAGAGACACAATGAGACTTCAGTAACAATAATATTAATCAAATTTTAAAAAACCCAATCATTTATTTTTTACAAATAAATAATTTACGGTTTTCTATAAAAATTTCACCTTTTGTCCAGGGTTTCCAGGTCGTCCCATCTCACCTCTTTCTCCTGGAGGCCCTATGGGACCTGCAGGACCGAGATCTCCTTTATCGCCTTTAGGGCCTATATATATAAATGCGTCACATATTTTAATAAAATTAAGAGAATGAAAGTATGATTATGGAAGCTAGGCAACTCATAACGTCAAATTTTACTTTAATTATTGATTGGCATTAAACTAATACTTACCAATGCTGACAACACTTATTCCATCCTAAAAAGAAAAGGTCATTTTATGTGGGTTCTAAATATTTCCAAACAAAAATAAAATACAATTATATGTAAGAAAGTAGCATTCTGTGTAATAGTCTCTAACAACAAACAATATGTACTTAACAGTAACAAAACAGCAAAACATAATATATGGTGATATTGTAGAATTATGTTTTATTTGTTTGGTTTAAAGGGTACTTAATATCACAATGTCTCATTTTAAAATTATTTTAAAATATTTTACTTAAGCATACAGAAGTTTGATGAACTCCAATAATACCATTTAATAAATTAGAAAATTTCCACGTAGAAACTGCAATTCTGATTAAAGTGTTAAAAAAAATTCGAGTTATTGAGATGTCAAAGTTCCATTCTGTTGTACTTTACAAATTCTGTTACATAAATTGTATTATCTAGCAGTAAGTTCCAACTATTATCTAGGAATATATTTCCAAATATTACAGATAACCTCCAACGATACTATAAATTTCACTATTTGCAGAATCTACCAGAAGTGTGGTTAGGTTAGTAAATACAATGCTACTAGCTAACAGAAAATTTATTTTTGAAGCCGCATCTAAACTTCATCTTAGAAGTTTTTTTATTCAAATCTTATAATTAAAAAAAGTAAACACCTGATAATTTGCCAATATTAAGACAGAGATAAAAATTTCAGATTTTTATATTAAAACGTGAATAAGTGTATTCGCATCAAGCATCAGTGAAACTTACAATTCAGTTCTTAGGTTACAGAGGTCTGAAAATAATTATGGAGTTAAAATAATCAAGAATAATAAATCACAGATGACTAATATGTATTGAAAATCAAATTAAATATCTGAAAGCAAACAGGATATTCAATATTTAGATTTCATTAGAATTTAATATCTTTTGTATTACGATACGACAAATTTTCTCAGTTTCAAACGCCTGTTATAATTTGGTTTACATACATAACTTGATGAACTTATTCATTGAAGAGGATTTCGATGGGTTATCGTCTAAGAAGACAGTGCAGCTTCTTAATACCAAAACTTCATTTTTTATTTCTCTCATACCAAAAATTATGGTAAAAATAAATTCCTTTGCATTTATAATAACTGTTATAATATATGGAATATGAACGGTTAATATGAACACAGATATTTACCAAAGAACAAGTTACAGAGCAATTTGATGCAAAATTCTAATCGTATGTTGCATATGCATTTTAGTAAACATTTAAAAATCTTGAAAATAAACAAATTAGTTTTAACATCTGTAACACATGAATACACTTTAAATTGATGATGTTTCACTTACCGGATTTAAATAACTTCCAGGTCCCGGTGGACCAGGTTCTCCTTTATCACCTTTTATGCTGTTACCTTTCTCTCCTTTTTCTCCTAGTCTACCAGGAGTTCCTGGTCTACCCTGAAGATATGAAAAATATCAATAACATGTACTAACGTTTTTCTTAGAAGTAAAGGTGTAATTCAATTATGTTAAATTCAAAAAAGCAAGTGATGTCGGAAAAGTACATGAAACTCACTGGGAAACCAGGCAGTCCGATTTCTCCTATGGGTCCAACAGGTCCTGGTGGTCCGGGGGGCCCAATTTTACCTTTCTTCCCCCTTCTCCCTCTGTCTCCTTTCTCACCTTTAATCAACTGTAAAAAGGAGAGTTGAATAAAATTATTCATGCTAATGTAATTAATTTATTAGACATAAACTTTCATACGAAAACAAGAAACTACGGTTACAAAATTTCTATTCTCTTAATATCCTACACAGTGATAAATAACGTTCTGAAACTCTTTGTATGACGAATATTTTCAGTCTTTGTCAAGTGTTCAGTACAACTGCAATTTATCGTGACTCTGCATCAAGCCTGGGGGCAATCGCACATCAGAATAGAAGGAGCGCTCTAGACTGCAAAATATAATTTTAGTTCACAGTGCACATTACATCACAAATATGATTGTTAAAATGGATTTTAGCGCATAAAGGAATCACAGGAAATTAGGCCACTGATATTTAGAAAAGGAGGTAGCAAATAGTCCACAGATGCATGAACAGACTACCAAGAGTCCTAGGTCGTTTGTTAAAAGAAACACCTTTAACTAACTATCTACAACTGCAAAAGAAGAGGAATGATGCAGAAGTAAGTGGGCAAACATTTCGTCTATTTCCTAAAGTAGATACAGAGTTATAATCACTCAGATCTAGCTTCACCCAACTACTAACAGGACACGAGCCCTATCTTTATCTCTACATTTTTAGAATCTTCACTCTGTGACTGTGGAGAAGAGAATGACATGGATCACTACCACTAACAATGCCACAAAACTAGCTCTTGGCATCTTAAAAAGTCAGTGAGATGCGCCTGCCAATTGTGGACAATTAACACACTCAAAAACAGGTCTGTATAGCAAAAAAAAAAAAAAAAAAAAAAAAAAAAAAAAAAAAAAAGAAGCATTAAATTACTGTTCTATCTAGGATAAATACTCCAGACTCAGCTCACCTGTATATTTTAATCACCATTTTTGCATTTAACTTGCTGTAATTAACAAATCTGTGAAAAGAAGTTTTGTATAGATGCAATATAACACGAATGAGCACTAATTTTGTAACAAAACATTTAAATGTAACTACAAAGTTATTTGATAAATAGATGTTTAATTAATTAAGGCATACCAGTGCACTAGTGTAACAATAATAAGCCTTCTTTGCCGCTGAACTACATCCTTTCGAAAAAAAAAAAAAAAAAAAATGTAGTTTGATCAATAGAAAATCTCCGGTGGGATGGTACAATTCCGTTTGACTTACCACTGTGCCCGGAAGCTATCTCAGCGGTGCACAGCACAGCTGATGTATATGTAATTGCAGCCAATACGTTGCGAAGTGTGTGATTACTTATTTTTCATGTTAGTAACATCAGCAGCTTCGTGGACATATTTGTTTTTAAATCTTTAATTCAGTAGCCGTCAGTAGAGAAGAATATAAAAATATAAAAAAGCAAATCAGTGAAAAAGGGATTGCAAGGTTTATTTCCCAAAATTAAAATTAGGTTAATTAAAAATGTCTTATATTCATAAGAACAAATCTGGAATGAATAAAATCTCTAAAATGCGTATGATTCTTTAGCAGCCACAAAGAATATTTATAAACGACATTTAAACTACAACTGTTAAAATTTAATGCTGTTTTTTGGCTTTATATCTAATTGATGTACAAATAAAACTCCTGATAACTAACATAGACAGAAGCAAGAAAAACTAAAAAAGCACAATTATTTAAAACTCGAGGTCTGTATCACAATAATGGAGCCTTTCAGGTTTTCAACTGTATGACACACAGCATATGGTTTAGAGCAGGGAATAATAAGAAGGGAATTAAAGGAATAATAAAACTTACATGGAGTTTTACTTCTGAAATATTTCATTACATTTCTCTATTTAAGAACCGTATTAATTCAAAAATTTAGCGAATTTTGAGCAAACTAATGCAGCGTACTGTTAACCCTTATTAATTAAAAATTTGCTTACAAATCACACAGCCACATTATGTTTAAACGTGGTGTTTCGTTTCCCTTTATTTTATGTCTTTTCTTTTATTCTTGTTGAATTTGTGCATCAAAAATACTACCTTCTTCTGACAAAATTCTATATTCTTTATTCTTTTTCTCCAATCATTTCTTCAGCTTTGTTCATTGTTTTATAAATACAAATACCATAAAGAATTCAATAATGTTAAAATCCATAATAATCCAATGTTATTATCTCCTCGCAGGCGGACCTTTTCTTGCGATGCGATATCAGTTGAGAATTTCATTCTAAGATTTCAAGTCACGCTATTAAAAAATCATGAAAATTTTCTTGTTCTTTAAATGGTGAATAAGACCATTCATTCTTGTAAAAATTTACAACCAAACGTTCAAGAAACCATTACACTAAGAGCTTCTTCATACAGATACTAACACATTAAACGCTTTACACAAAACAAATCTTCAAATACTAATCACCACTAACAGGTTCCATGCGTACTGTGTTATAGCATACACTATATTCAGAGTTCTACACTCTTCTTGCTGACTGAAAAAAATCCTGAAATAAAGAACAACCCAGCTTTTCGTTTGGAACTCCCTACTGATAAGACGAAGGCGAGAACAGAAGAGGTGAATTTTACTTATAGAACTTCGGCATTTTAGCTTTAACCGTCCCCTCCTCTTTTGTAGACAGGTTGAGATGCAAGGATAATCCACATAATGAATAATTGACCCCTAGATAACAGATTTATGCATTTAGAGAAATAGAAGTCCGAGTGTCGATATGAAACCGCTCTACAAGTTATAAGTTCCTTTCGAATACATTATCTTAGCATTTTAAATTAAATCTTAATTTTGATTTTATTCATTCAGATATATTTATTAGTTCGTAAAGGAAATTACCTTTCACATCAAGAAATAGAGAATAAAAATATGACTTACATGCTCACTAGTTATATTTTATTCTTATTCCTCTTTTGCTCTATCATTATGAATGAGATAGATTACATTCAATTTTCTTTATAAATATATTCTGGAACAAATTAATGCATTTATACTACATTCATTTAATTTAACATCAATTTAAATTTATCCTAAGTGTGTTTTAATTAATTAAAGTTTTAGAAAATGGGAGAAATAATTTTAAATATTTTTCTAGAGCTATGCAGTTCAGGTAATATAATTTTAGCTTTAAGATTTCAATACAAAAAACACGTGCTTTCAAAACCAAAACTATTTAGAAATAATTGATCTAAGTCAGCAACTTTTATTACGTATATAAATTTGAAGACTTTCTCGAGCTGAGATATTATTTTAGAAATGAATTCAGATATAAGTCAGTTATTGAAAGGATGTCATGTGAAGCACCTTAGGTAAAAATAGATTATGATAAATTAGAAAAAATAATAAAATAATTCATACAAATTGAATAATGAGTAACTATAATTTACATTTGTGTATTTTTAAAGACATTTTCGAAGGCTAAAGAAGCTTTTTAAAAATTCTAAGCTAAAGAAGAATTAGGTGATTTTTAAAATACCAAAGATACTTCGCCATCACTGGAAACAACGCTACTAACTCCTGGTGGTCCAGCGGGACCAGGCTCTCCAGGTTCTCCTTTTGGACCAGCTGGACCTACTTTACCTTCTTTGCCCCGAGAGCCTCGATCTCCCTAAAATGCAACAAAATCAAATCAAACAGGGATTATTGTATTCAAAATGAATATCAATAACAATAAATAATCAATAATAATAAACAAAACAAAAATAAAAGTAGTATTATAAAAACTTTGACAAGTATTAAATAATATCACGCACGTAATACGAAAAAAAAAAACGTATCCTAGTAAAACGTCAGAAGACCAATCAGGTCTGGTTACAATTAATACAGGTCTCGTTACAATATTTTCTTGCTAAAATGCAGCTCGTTATAACTGCAGTTCGAATACTAAAATGGCGTTGTCTAAAAATCCATTTCATCTTTTATTAAAATCGTACACTTATACAGATCAAAAATCTTTATTTTTTTAAAGTATAAAATTAAATGAAAACTGAAAGTTTCCAAAACTTAAAAAAATATTCGTATACAACCTTACACGAATATTATATAAATAAATGTAAGTAAGCATGCGTATGATGTAATTTTGATTTACATAATACGCACGTGTATATCATGCATGTTTATTTTATATATGCCCAACATAATTTGTGTGTTGAAATGCATTAAAACAGTTTTTGACATTCATCATTAAATACAAATGTTCAAAATATTTTAGTGCACTGCATGACTATAGAATTTTTCTCGGTGGGAAGCCTTCACTTTCAGTATAAAACAGGTGATATTAAAAAGAAAACTGACTCATTATTTTTCTCCTAACTAGGGAAGATTCGGATTATTGATTGCGACACAGCACATAAGGGCTGTCTGCCAAAGGGAATATAGTTCGTGAAGATCACTGTAAGAGAAATTGTCTCGTATTAACATAACAAACACATGGGAAAACCCATGAAAACACTTTTGCTGCCATCATCTTCATCAGAATTCGAACCTGGGATATTTAGTGTTCATTGCTTTTATCCATTTGATCAATTGTGGGTATAACATTAAGGAAGGATGTAGATTTCAAATGCCGTTGATATTCTTTATAATGACCCCTTGCATCCTACACAAAAAAATGGAATTGTTGCTATAAATAACGGCCATTATCCGAACCTTGAATATATGTTACCGGCTATATATGAAGTACCGCCATTTTATAGAAGACTTATCCCATATAGACATTTTATAGTATGCCTAGCAGTTTTAGGCAAAGTATGAAACATGAGAATTATTATATACTTTGCCTAGGCATTTTACAAAATGATAAATGGTATCTAGGCAAAGTATTAAAAAAGGCCATTCGAAAGACAAGCATTCCTCAAAAATCCAAATGTTATTTTGAAAAAAATAATGAAAGAATACCATTACAAAACTTTTATTCAAAATACATAAAGAAACGTGAAAGTTGTGCAAAAAAATGCCTTTCTTATTAATAATTTATGAAATGTATGAAATAAATGAGTTAAACTCATGGATAATCGAAATGAATCGAAGATATATTTCATACTTTGACGGTTTGTCAGAATACCTAAAAAATGTGTGAAATATGAAACGTTTCATGCACTGTCGGCCAGTTTTCGGCATTCTGTAAAATGCCTAGGTATTGTACAGAATGCCGGTTTTCATACATTGCCGCTAACATATATATAATATGAGGTAGAAATGTTTCCCTTTCCATCTACATAAATGTAATCAAATAAAATATCTAAAATTGCTACCACACATTTCGAATTTGCAAATATTTATAATAGACATTTCGTTAATATAATAAATATATAAAGGAGGATTATCAGTGTCTTACAATCAGTAATAACAATGTTGCGACTGGCTTTTATATGTAGAGACAGAGAAAAGAAGAAAAGGAAAAGTAAGCTTAATGCAAGCTAACTATCTAGATATATAGCTTGTCCTTTTACATTTCTCACCGCTACATTAGGTAATGACATTTTGATTTACTAGTCATTTGTATACATTACAGTATATTAGCGTCATTCTGAAAGCTTCGTTAACCAAAATGAAAATTAGAACTGCAGAGGGAATAGTAGCAATTAATTTTTCATAATACGATCATTAATCATATTTATTTGTATTATATAAGTGTAGATCAAAATTATGCATTTAGAATATTAATTACATACAAGCTTAGTCAAAGGTCCCAGTGTTTGAGAAAATCTAAAATAGGAAAAGCACATACATAATAAACAGAAGAACATATGTATTGTAGAGTATAATTCCGGGGAAACGCCATTGAGTCTTTCATCTATGTTCAAATTTTCATGTTACTCAAGGAATAAAAATTTCCTTTTATTTTAGAGTTATTTTTAAATTTTACTATCAATATTAAAGAAAATTTTTAGATTAAATTTCAAACAAATTAGCTATTGCGTTATGAGAAAGTTCCTTTATTGCCAATAGATGGCAGCACCACCACATTTACTTCTGTGCGAGGGCTGAAGAATTTTAGTTTCTTAAAACGTACTGTTAAAACGAATAGAAAATTTATGGTTAAAAACAATACGGGAATACGGAGAGCAAAATCTGAAAGGGTTCAGACTTTAAAGATTCCCAAAACGGCTCTCTTAAAGTTTAATATGGTTTATCAGCAAAGTCAATCGGTAGAGATGGCCCAGATGGATTGTGAAACATTTTATAGGGCACTATATGAATATACAGTTAGACTAACATGGGAACGTTCTATACATTCTGTATTTTGAAAAGTGAAAAATATATAACTCCATTCTATAAACATATTTCATGTTTTTAATTGGATATATCATGAACACAATGCATGTTTTTAATATCAATCGGAATAAAGTCAATCAGAATAAGTCAAACAATAATATTTTTAAGAACCGCATTTATTGCTTTTCAATAGCTCAGTTTGTTAAGGCATAAAAGGTTCAGTTTGTAAGATAAGTATCTAACTTTTTCCGAATGACAACAGACTCGAATGAAAAGTGAAACAACGCATTTAAAGCGAGTCAACGCAAAATCGAGTTTCGAGAATGACAGCTCTTTTCGGATAAAAAAAGCATTATACAAGATTATGCATTGCAAATACTACAAAATAACCAAAAATGTATTGTATTAAAGTGAAATGCCTACATTTATGATTAAGTATAAGTTACTCGTAACTCCATGCTACTATCAAATGAGTTTTTTATAGTTTTCTTAACAAAAATAGAAAGCTAAATTTTTATTTTGCATATATTCAGAAAACCTTTAATGCAATAAAAATTTAAATAATTTTGAAAAAATAACATTTTTTCACTTGCGGGAACCTTAGTATCGCGTTCAACCGAAACATGAAATAAAAACTCTCATTCTAAACTTTATTATTCTTACTAAAGTCTTCTTTAGGACTATTGAATTCACTTACATTTACAAACAAATTTTTGGGCATTCTCTGCTCCGCGAACTTAATTGCACTACAGGTCCTCCCACTCCTTAGAGACAGGCGCGGAGGTTCAACCTCCGCTCTGGCCCCTCAGAGAGAGAGAGGCGCACCGCCCAGGAAAAATCTCCCAGACGGCACTGGTCGTTAATTTGCTACCTACCAGTCGCTCGGGCTGCCCGTCGCAGTGGGGCATTACCCAGCATACTCGGGGACCCTACCCCCCGCTACTAGTACCACGCCGCGCTACAACGTGCCAGACCCCGAGGCCTTCAGAACCACCAAGTTCATAAATTTTATAGCCCCGCGGCCGAAACTGCCTAGGTACAGATCCTAGCCAGTAGCTTTGCTGCGTCGATCCCCGGGGGTAGGGCTTCCCGGGGATCGAAAATTTTATATAATTTCCCAATTATACAAATTGTATCGCTTCCCCGCCGTCTTTTCTTAAATCCTACGCTGGACCATGGCTTTTCAGCCATTCATCTTAATAAAGCAACCTAAGACTGTCGGGGGGTGATGTAAGTGGCCCACTCGTGATGTGTCCTTAATTTTGACGGCTGTCGCTTTGTGTTTCAGTTTATCATCATCGTTTTACATCAGGAGGTACATCTTGCTGCTGATTTCCTCGACGACCTTGTTTGAGCATTTTCAAATTCACGATAAAAATTATCACACTGGATATATAACCGAACTTTTCCACTCTTTTTGAAAAGTAGATTTATTTGTTTACGGAGCAACTGAAAAATATGAGATTTACTAGAGAGAAGTAGATGAACTTAGAATAGAATGACAACGCATTTCTAAAGAAATATCACACAGAAAAGAACACATTTCCTAAAATTATAATCGAAGTAAATATGCTCCTTTAATATCTTTCTACATTCAAATACTGTAAAAGTCGCATAGTCTGGCGCACATACCCCTAAATGCGTACTGTCTGAGAGCACTGTGAAAGTATCATTCGGCAATATCTGAAAACATTCAGAATTAGTTTACCAGAGAGTTGCACGTACTAAAACTAATTCAAAGAACCGAGTGAATTTATTCCGATTCCAAAAAACGGAGTGGTAGCTCCTTTAAAGTTTACGGGCAGCTTTTGTTAGAAGCGAGTCAGAGATAGAGATCTGCTATTCGCTTAAGAACTGATGCACTTTACTTAGCGTATTTAAGACTGACAGGCGAAGAAAGTGAGAAGCTTTTGTTGGAAGCGTGCTAAGAAAATTCGATTTCCATCTTACAGAAGAAAAGACTATTTACCCTCCCATGTTAAAAGTGAATTTAATTGTTATCTTTTCATGACTTTACTATTCCAGAATTTTATTGTTAGTTCTGCGTAGGAGGTTTTAGGGAATCTGAAAAATACATTTGAAAGAAATTAGTTTAGGGAGTTATCGTTTGTGATTAAGTCAATTCTTCCGATCCTACTTCTCGTTCGATTCTTTTCGCTCTTCACTTCAACGTCGGAAACCGAACCGATCCCACTGCTCTTTGGGTTCTTTCTGTTCTTCGCTTCATCCTCGCTACTGTTCTCCATTCACTCGTAGTTCCGGATCTTTTTCATGAATATTATTATTTGTGAGAGGTGAGTTATACAAAGGAACCTATTCAATTCAGTGAACGACCCGATCCCATAAAAGAACGGTTTCACCCATCTCTAATTCGCATCAGCGCCATTTACCTTCAGATCAGTCTTTATTTAGAGCATAATAAGTATTAAAAAAAACTTCGAAAGTCTTGAGCTTTTCCCTCTTAGACAAGTTTAGGACCTATCAGCCACCTTTTTAGGTCACAACCTAGATTCAAACTATGGATCAAGGGGCTGATAAAAATATTAAAGTAAACGAAAGACACTCATTTTAGCATTTTTCTTTCTATTCTATAAAGGAATTCCTAGCTCATTTTATTATAAAAGATGAATTTTTTTGCTGCTATAGTTTGGAAACTTATAAACTTATAAACTCACATTTAAATATTCCAAACTCTGAGAAATCTCTTCTTAGGAAAGGAGAAGAGAAAAAAATGTGTGTGTCGTAAACATCGTGTACAGGTAAGTTTTTGATTAATTTCATGATTTATTTTGTTACCTTTACTGGTCGTTGTTGCGCAAAGTTTGAGTTATGTTGTAAAATAAAGCAATAAAATAATGGATTCGTCTTCGTTTAACTTTTATTTAATATTATTATTTACTGTTTAATCTTCGAGTAATCTTATCGTTAAATCTCCAGATGTGTATAAAACTTTAAAGTTGGATTTATTCCTTATTTTTGAATTCTCCCATGCAATTCATACCTAAGCGAGTTTCACGCGTTCGCTAAATCGATTCCTTAGAGAATGAGTTTACTAATCTTGGCGAAAAGTGAATCCTAAATTTATGATACAAAATTCTATAGAACAACTTGAAAATATTAATGATCCAGAGATAAATCAATGTGAAATTTTAAATACAAATTTAAGATGCTCCTTACAAAAAACAATCTCATTTTTATAAAACAAAACTTCTGCAGCGATGAATAAATAATGAATTTTCACATTCACCTTAGTTGGCTTGATGTAAATAAACGTACACTCACGGCTTAAACAGTCGAAGTCCATCATAGCGCTAGTTTTCAGTTTTGGAGTTAAACTGTAATTCCAGCCAAAGCCCCAAATAAGATTAGCACCGGTATTTTTGATTTAAAACTTATTGAACTAAATCGTTATTTAAATTTTATTTATGTTTTAAATTTCATTTTAATTATTTAATTTTCGTCATCTTTTCTGACAGACTTCAGAGGGCTCTGGCACTTATAATTTTAAAAATTAAACCGTTCGTGCAATAAGTACAGTATTGAAGGAACTGCAATATTATACCCACATTTACTTATATCATGCAGTTTCATATTTCAGTTTCTATGTCCTCAGAGAAATTCAGCGCCTTCTGAATCAGTGCATACCGAAATTGTTAGAATGAGGGCATCGTACTTTCGACGTTACTATTTGCAGCAAGTGGGTTATAATTTTGCTCACATTTAAATATTCTGTGTTACTATATATGAACTAAGAAAAGAATACTCACTTTAGGTCCAAGATCACCTGTAGGCCCAGGCTTTCCAGGTGGACCAGGATCACCCTATAAAACACATTAACGTTATTAAAAAGAACATTTTAAAAAGGAAGATACGCGTAAATGTTACTATAACATATATCTTCACAATGTCCATTAGTAAGAAAAGATAAATAAAGAATTTACCTTTGGACCAGCAACGCGGAGAGCAGAACCAGTGCTACCATATTCAATATCGACATCATCATCTGAGCTTCGGAAAGCAGCAGATAAACCTGGTGGTCCTGGAGGGCCTGGAATTCCGATACCAGGAGGTCCAGCATCCCCCTATCGAAAGGTAAGATAGGATATTAGACATAAAATTAATAAAGAATACATTTATAACAAGAAAAATACAGTTTTTAAAATGTTAGGAAAAATAAGCTGTCATGTCCTCAGGAATAATAAAGAAACTAAAATTAGGCGAAACTACAATAGTAAATCTCATTTTGGAGTAGATTTGGAATAAAATTCTATTGAGTTCGTGGGCGTTTAGACAGCATTCCTTTTTCTTCAAAAACAAAAATATTTCTTTGCTCCTGAAGAAGGACGTATATCTGATCGCCCTCAAAATATCTTGAGTCTATTTAAAATCTACACCAAGCTAAGTTTTTTTTTGGTTATTTTTATTTCCTCATTTGCCTTTAAATTTTAAGGCAAATGAGAAATCCGATATCGATCAGTACGTAGAAGTATAATCATAAGTAACTTACACTACTCAGCAAACAATAAATATTCTGATGTCAGGTCTTCATGACGTCATTTCATATTATAAATCTAATTGAACTTATATGAAAATGAGCTATTCAGAAGACGTTATTTCGAAGTTATCTCCTTCAGGCCACATTTTGAATATCAGATGTCCCTTAAATGAACTCATTTTCTGGGGTGAAAAGTAAATGAAAAGAAATAGGACACTAAAATCTCTTAGTTTTTTTAACTTTGCTAAGGGTGCTAAATTTTAATGCATGAACAAGAGTAATGACCTCGAAACAGCTAAATGTTATATTTAAAATGCTTATTCTACTCTTTCAGTTTCAAATTTTGCTAAAATAGTTTTGGCACTGATAGAGAAATGGTTTTTGCGTCTCAAAAAAAGAAACCCATGTTTGATTGTCCTAAAAAATCGACCTTTTGAGAAATAGAGTAATTTTATTCAAAATCTACATAAGACTAATGTTGCTTTTTTGCCTAATTACTTTTCATGAAAATTATAAAACATATAAATTCTAAAACCTAAATTCTTACTCCTCTTACTTTTGAATAATGATATAATATCATACGCGGAATGAGTTCATGATTTTCATGTGAATTTCATTAGTGTGTATCAAAATCCTTAATGCAATTCGAACACGTATAGGCCATAATGCGTTTTATGTGGGTATAATAAGTATGCACCTAGTCTTTCTGATAAATACTACGTACTATCGATTATACGGTTTGTGAATTAAGCATTAGTGGCGGTGCCTACGTACGCATGCTCAACGTTTTGCGAGACAGCGTATAAAAACAAACATCGCAAGTCCAAGCATGCTCTAAAAATCGCTGAACTGCGTCTATAGATTTACGCTCCTGCCCAAAAAATTAAACAACGAAGGCAAAGCACGGAATGAAACAAAAACTATTTAATGGATATGTGTGAAATTGATCCAAGAGGTTGGCGTGGCATTACTAGACTACATAGCAAACAAAGACATGTATCACGACCATCACACTGAGAAAGACCAAATGGGTTGGAAGGAAACATCACGCTAATAACGAGTATGATAAACTCCTAGCTGAAAAGAATGCTTGAAAATGGCAAAGCAAGCTTTCAATCGCTCGTTAATCGCTTGTTGTGGCAGTAGCGCCCATTCGTGTAGTAATGCATGACGGAAGGTCGTAGAGGATACCTGGCGGAACATAGCCACTTGCTACCCGTCATTCCAATATGTCCTATACTATGGGATTCAGGTCTGGTGATTTAGCACGGCGCAGCAGCTGTGGAATGGTTTGACTCTCGAGCTCTATATGGGCGGGCGTTATCGTCCGTAAATACCGCTTCGGTACCTATTACAGCAATAAAAGGACGGACAAAAGGGTGTAGAATTTCGTCGCGATATCGGATGGCTGTGACGGAACCACCTGGAATCACATAGAGGTTGGTGCGGCAATTCGTTGCTATCCCAGCCCAAACAAGTAAGCCTGCTTCTCTGTAACATCTTTTTCAACGATATTTGGTGCCCGATAGCGTGTCCCTGGCTCTCGTCATCTCACTCTCCTTCAGGAATCATTCTGGATATTTGAGACACATCCGTAATTAGTACGTGGCTCTACTGCTTTGTTCAAGTGAGAGATTCACGGGCCCAATTTAACTGCACTTTGACATAAGATGGAGACAGAGGAATACACACCAGTCACACGAGCGTATAGTTCACCTTCATGCAGCTGGCGCAACACAGTTTGATATGGGATATGGGTCTAAATTTATCAAGATATACCTGAGTTTATGTATTGGCGCGTATTGAAACATGGCATCATATTTTTTATTAGCGATGATAAAGCTAAATGCGGTTTACACACTTTTAATATTATTTCAAATAATGAACGATGCACCTTTTTTCAGCTCGTACAAAATGAAAGGGAAAGGAAAATATGTTACCATAAATTAAGAAGTTCGCCAAGTGAATTATTGCAGACTGAAAAAAATACGCCGAGATTTTTTTTTTATTTTTTAATAAATAAATAAATAAATAAAATATAAAGTTTAAATATCTCGGTAAGTATCTCACCAAATTTAATATTTTGACATAATTTGAGTCGTAGAATCAATATATGGAGAAAAACCATGATTTCATTTCAGAAAAAGTCCGATTTTGGGTCAAAATACCTATGTTAGAGTAACGCTATATATAAATATAATGAATAGCCTAAGCCCCTAAGTTACAACATAATAATGATGTTCACCAGCTGTATTGGACGGCCGGTTACAGCCGAAAACATCGCGGCAAAAACATCGCGGACGGAAACGTCGCGGAGAAAACAACGCAAGGCGAAAACGTCGTGCTACAAAACATCGTGGAAAAAACATCGCAAAGAGAAAACATCGCAGTTCTAAAACATCGTGGCACAAAACATCGTCGTCGAAAATAAAGTGGTTCAAAAACTTCGCAATTTAAAAACATCGTCGTCGAAAATATCGCGGTAAAAAATAAAGCATCTACAAATAATCGCATGACGATAACATCGCAGACATGATTTTTTTTCAGGTTTTAGTAACTGTAAATGGATATTCCCATAATGATTTGCGAACGCAAGATGGAAAGACGGATAATTTTTACTTTCATATTTTTTATAACTAATAAATTTTTGCTGAGAAAATAAAAAGGAAACTTGAGAATAGAAAATTAATGTAACTTATAGCACTTAATAGAATTTTAAACCGACATAGTTAACTAACAAAGGCCATTAATAAATCATTTTTTATAAAGTTTTTACTGGTAATTTTTCACGAAAAGTGTAATCTATAAGTTGCATTTAATTTTCTTTGCTTAAGTTTCCTTCTTACTTTTTCAGCAAAAATTTATTAGTTAATAAAAAAAATGTGAAAGTAAAAACTATCCTTCTTTACATCTTGCGCTCACAAATCATTCTGGGAATATCCATTTACAATTATTAAAACCTGAAAAAAGCATGTCTGCGATGTTATCGTCATGCGAAAATTTGTAGATACTTTATTTTTTACCACAATATTTTCGACAGCGATGCTTTTAAACTGCGAAGTATTTGAACCGCTTTATTTTCGACCATGATGTTTTGTACCGCGATGTTTTAGAACTGCGATGTTTTCTCTTTGCGATGTTTTCTCCCACGATGTTTTGTAGCACGACGTTTTCGCCTTACGTTGTTTTCTCCGCGACGTTTTCGTCCGAGATGTTATCGGCGGACACCTGGGCGGCCAGGGACCTCATGTCCTGAGCACACGGTTGTTACACCTCTAATCGCTAAGGATTTTTTTAATATTTTAACTGTGAAATTTTTATGTCTTAATTTTTTGGTATTGTAAAGACTTGAATTTTAGTGCTGTCATTTTTAAGGGTTTTTAATATTTTCGTGATGTAATTTTGAATTTAATGTTTTGTTTTTGGCGAGTGGTCTGGTAATGGATTGATTTCCGAATAAAACCATAAGAAACAACAACATACAGCCTATGTCGCGCTTTTGAGGTATATAAAACGCAAATTATATTTCGTCAATCAGTCCATTAGAATGAGAGATATAGAATTGTCCCCCTCTTTTTTTTTTTTTTTCTTGCGCAGAGTCTGACATGTACTCTGCTTTTAAATTTAGCCATCCACTGCTGACCTAGTTATATTGGGTCTGATGAAAGCCATGAACTAAGACGTTTTTGAAAATGCGATCTTTTATAAAAAAATTGTATATACCCTTTATTAAAAACTGCGATCGTGATAATGATAATAATAATAAAAAGAAACAAACTATTAGTTTTTGATGTAATAGGTGCTGCAGATATTTATTTCAATTTCCCCCTAACATTTTATATATAATTTAATTCTAGAACTTGCGAAATAAAAGTTATAAATAAATAGTATATGGAAAAAGACACAAAAAAATGGTCTCACTTGTTCATTATACATCAATTAGTCAAACATAAAAAAGTGAATATATTTATACATTTTTCTTCCTTTTAACAGCCAACCATCATTAATTGGGATTCAAATGTTAGGTTACTTGAAATAATCAGGAAAAGGGTGCAGTATTATTTCACGTTATTAAAAAATTTTTGGAATTTGAATTTGTTATTAAAAAAGAAGAATAAAATAATGTTTTCCTCACTGCATTTTTAGTATATTTCAGGTTTAATGACTTTATCTTTAATGACTTAATAGTTGCAATAACCGTTAAAATTCCCATTTGGACAAAAATATTTATTAAGCTTAAAATTCCACCTAAGCAGTTTTTATTTTATTGTTTACACAGTACATTCAGCTACAGATAAATTTTCATTAAATTTTGTATTTTCCATTCCATTAACATCTAGTTGCAAAAGCATAACTAATATTGCTTAAAAAATTCAATATACAATAAAGCAATTATATACGAATATAATTATTAATAAAAATTATTACAAGTAACCGCTTAAAAAAGAAAAATAAATGAGAAAGATGTATAGTCAAAATTTCAGTTTAAGAACAATATTCACAAATTTCAACTGCATAGTTTTAATACAATTACTGTCCGACTATTACACTACTTATATTATAAAAATTTACATTTTCCCTCTTGAT